CAAGGGGCATTGGGTAAAGTATTCCTTTCCTGTAGCCAGTGTCCAACTACAGTTCTAGTCCTCTAATAAAAGGAGAAAGATTTTAGTAACCAATGAGTGTCTACACAGTAGCCCTCAAGGGAATTTACTCCTGGTGTCTTCCTTCAATCACTCTTCCATTTAAGAAACACTTCCTATGAGTGGTGTCGGAGAAGGCAATGGCACCCCACGCCAGTACTCTTGCCTGGAAAATCCCATGGACGGAGGAGCATGGTGGGCTGCAGTCCATGGGGTCACTAGGAGTCAGAAACGACTGAGCGACTTCACTTTCACTTTTCACTTTCATGCATTGGAGAAGGAAATGGCAACCCACTCCAGTGTTCTTGCCTAGAGAATTCCAGGAACGGGGGAGCCTGGTGGGCTGCCGTCTATGGGGTTGCACAGAGTTGGACATGACTGAAGCGACTTAGCAGCAGCAGCAGCATGAGTGGTGCAGAGCAGGGGAAACTTGGTTGGATGTTTTAAGTCCAAGAACATTCCCTAGAGGCAGCAGTGTTTGGACTGAGTTTTGAGGATGAGTAAGAACTGCAAAGAAGAATATGCCAGGCGGAAGATGCAGCTGTACCAAGGCCTGGACGTGGATGGAAGTGGGTGGGAGAAGGGAAGGTTTGAATGCAGCAGAGTGGCTGCAGGTGGGCTAGAGAGAACTTTGCAAAGCCGGACCATGTGGACTCTCATTTGGTAAGCCAAAGAGCACAAAGTAACCTTATCTTCTTTCTTTCTTCATTTCTCTGTCTTCCTCTTTCCCTCCCCCACTCCCTCTCTTCCTCTCTCACCCTCTGTCTCTCCCCTTCTTTTGTTGACTGAAATAAAAATGCACAATGAGTTTCGAGTTTATGTAGGAACTAACTGAGGCCTAGGGCTGGGGAGATGGGGCTTCCCTGGTGGATCAGACAGTTTGGAAACTATGTGCAATGTCGGAGACCCAGGTTCAATCCCTGGGTGGGGAAGATCCCCTGGAGGAGGAAATGACAGCTCACTCCAGTATTCTGGCCTAGAGAATGCTGTGAACAGAGGAACCTGGTGGGCTACAGTCCATGGGGCCTCAAAGAGTCGGACATGACTAACACTTTCAGTTCACTTTTTCACTTTCGGAGATGGGGAAACAGCCTCTCAGATAGTTCTGAGGAGCTGCTCCAGACAGGATGGGGGTGACAAGGTCAGTAGATGTGTGATTTTGGAGAAGGGTTACGTGCTGTCAGGCACACATCTTGGTAGAAGGTTACTATTAGTCACCAGGCACAGGTATCTCAGTGCTTTTCTAAGTGTGGGAAGATGCAAGAATCTGGATTCATGAAATTTTCTCCTGAAACAATCTCACTATCTGAGGGCCTGTTCTGCTTGTTTTCTCAGGGCACAGAGTACGTCATTCCTGATCTTTGCCCTGAATTCCTTTCCGGGTGTATTGTAGGTAGAACTGGATGGTGGGCAACATGTGTTTTATCCTTTCTATTCTCCCTTCCTCCCTTCTTTTTTTTTTTAAATTTATTTTGTATTGGGGTATAGCTGATTAATAATATTGTGATAGTTCCAGGTGAGCAGCAAAGGGACTCAGCCGCACATATACTGATGGATGTACATGTATCCATTCTCCCCCAAACTCCACTCCCGTCCAGCCTGCCACATAACACTGAGCAGAGTTCCATGTGCTAAGGTCCCTGTTGGTTATCCATTTTAAACACAACAGTGTGTACACGTCCAGTATTCATTACAGCACTGTTTACAATAGCCGAGACACGGGAGCAACCTAAATGTCCATAGGCAGAGGAAAGGATAAAGAAGGTGGTACATATATATACAATGGATGATTACTCAATCATTAAAAAGAGTGAAATAGTGCCATTTGCAGCAACACAAATAGACCTAGAGACTGTCATACTGAGTGAAGTAAGTTGACAGAGAAGGGGAACTATCATATGACATCCCTTGGGTGTGGAATCTAAAAAGAAATGATACAAATGAACTTACAAAACAGAAGGAGACTTACGGACAAACTTATGGTTGCCGGGGGAAGGAGGAGGGGAAGGGATAGGGAGTTTGGAATGGACATGGACACACTTTCTTCCTTTTTACAATACACCTCCTGTATTTATTTATTTTATAACTGGAAGTTTGGAAGTTTCTACCTTTCGGCCATCTTCACCCATTCCAGCTCTCTCCTCCCATAACTTCAGGCAACCATCAAACTGTTCTCTGTATCTATGAGTTATTTTGTGTGCCTGTCTGTCCCTTTATTTATTTATTTTTAGATTCCACATATAAGCAAGATCATACAGTATTTGTCTTTCTCTATGTAGTCATGTATGGATGTGAGAGTTGGACTATAAAGAAAGCTGAAAGCCAAAGAATTGATGTTTTTGAACTGTGGTGTTGGAGAAGACTCTTTGAGAGTCCCTCGGACTGCAAGGAGATCCAAACAGTCCATCCTAAAGGAGATCAGTGCTGGGTGTTCATTGGAAGGACTGATGCTGAAGCTGAAACTCCAATATTTTGGCCACCTCATGTGAAGAGTTGACTCATTGGAAAAGACCCTGATCCTGGGAGGGATTGGGGGCAGGAGGAGAAGGGGATGACAGAGGATGAGATGGCTGGATGGCATCACTGACTTAATGGACATGAGTTTGAGCAAGCTCTGGGAGTTGGTGATGGACAGGGAAGCCGGGCATGCTGCAGTCCATGGGGTTGCAAAGAGTCGGATACCACTGAATGACTGAACCGAACTGATGTGACTTATTTCAGCTTTCCTGGTGGCTCAGTTGTAAAGAATCCACCTGCTAATGAAGGAGATGTGGGTTTGATCCCTGGGTTGGGAAGATCCCCTGGAGTAGAAAATGGCAACCCACCCCACTATTCTTGCCTGGAGAATTTCATGAACAGAGGAGCCTGGTGGGCTATAGTCCATGGAGTCACAAAGAGTCTGACTCGACTGAAGCAACTAAAGAACAACAACATGTGACTATTTCACACAACATAATGCCCTCAAGTTTCATCCATATTGTCACCAATTGCAGGAGTTACTTCTTTTATGGCTGAATAATATTCCATTATATATATACATATATAAACAAAATTTCCTTATCTGTTCATCTGTCAATGGACACAGTTTATTTCCATATCTTAGATAGTGTAAATAATGCTGCAATGAACGTAGAGGCATGGATGTCTTTCTGAGGTAGTGATTTTGTTTTCTCTGTATGTATCTCCAAAAGTGGGATTGTTGGATCATACAATAGTTCTAGAACCTCTATCAGTTTAATTTAGTTCAGTTGCTTAGTCGTGTCCAACTCTTTGTGACCCCATGGGCTACATCATGCCAGGCTTCCCTTGTCCATCACCAACTCCCAGAGCTTGCTCAAACTCATGTCCACTGAGTCAGTGATGCCATCCAACCATCTCACCCTCTGTTGTCCCCTTCTCCTCCTGCTTTCAATCTTTCCCAGCATCAGGGTCATTTAGCCAAAGTATTGGAGTTTCAGCTTCAGCATTTGTCCTTCCAATGAACATTCAGGGTTGATTTCCTTTAGGATTGACTGGGTGGATCTCCTTGATTCTCAAGAGTCTTCTCCCACATCACAGTTTAAAAGCATCGATTCTTTGGTGCTCAATTTTCTTTATGGTCCAACTCTCACATCCATACGTGACTACTGGAAAAACCATAGCTTTGACTGTTTGGCCCTTTGTTGGCAAAGTAATGTCTCTGCTTTTTAATATGCTGTCTAGATTTGTCATAGCTTTTCTTCCAAGGAGCAAGCATCTTTTAATTTTAACAGAACCTCCATACTGTTTTCCATAACTGCACCAATTTACATTCCCCCCAACAGTACACCAGTTTCGCCACATCTTTATCGCACATGTTTCTGTCTTTTCGCTAATAGTCATTCTAACAGGTGTGAAGTGATAAGTTGTCACTATTTTGATTTTCCTTTCCTTGATGATTTGCAAACTTTCAATTGATAGTTTTGAGGAGGAAATTCACTGGTATATACATGGGGGAGGGAACTTTGGGGGGATCTGAACTTTAACTTTCAGGAGACTAAAGAAGCTGAGCTGAGCTTTTGAAACACCCTCCCTCAAATCTGAGGTTATTTTAAGAATCAGCCAGGTGTTGGGAAATGTACTGTGGTCTGACATAAGATGGCCTTGCCCCAGCCTATCTGGACTACAGGGGGTGCAGGGGATGGGGAATGGTGTGCCCTGGAAGGGAGGGGGTGTGAAAGGGGACTGTCCAGGGCACGGAGTGGTTTCGGGAGGAGGCCTTAGATTGGGGTGAGGCAACATTTCTTGGACTCAGACTCCAGAGTGGGGTGCCTGGCAAGTTTCTGGTGGTGGGTGGGAGGTGAACAACACCAGCCCTGTGAAGTTGGGTGGGCTGGAGGGAGATGGGAGGCAGGTGGATAAGGCGCCTATGTATGCCTGCTGTACTTCCAGGCCTCTGGGAGATTCGTGATAAATATAGCTTGTCTGCGCCGCGCTGTGCAGTGGATCCCAGGGTAAGGGCTGAGAAGCAGGGTTCTGAGCCAGGCCCTTTCCCTAGAGGCCAGCCGAGTGGCGCCCCGGTGGAGGCCTGCTGTTCCCGCAGATCCACGAGCTCCCTGGTGCCCTGGGGGCTCCTGGACGCCCAGGCGAAGCCAGTGAACCACTGACGGGTGGGTTGCTGGGGGTGTGGAACCTCAGCCTCAGGGGATCACAGTTTAGGAACTGAAAGGAAATGTGCTCTGGCTTTGAGCTTCCAGGGATGAGGCCCCGAACATTCTGGTTATGCTTTCATGTTCCACTCCCATCTCTCAGGAGGAGAGATCCTGCTCCTGGGAATCTCACTGATCCTGAAAACTCATCCCTTTAAAACATCCTCTTTTCAGATCTTGGCTTCTGCTTTCCAGTCTGTGTCCGTGTGTTTCCTCCTCTCTCCTGCTCTGTCTCTCATTTCTCCCCACGAGCATACCCGGTCAGCAGACAGCTGGTCACCTCGCGTTTCCTAAATGTTTCTTCTCTTTCCTGCCTTTCCAAGTCCTGCGGCAGGGAAGCCGCTGTTTCTCCGTGGGCGGCGGGGAGACGGTATGCGGTTCTCCTGAGCGGCGCTGTTTTCTCCCGTCACCGGCCTCAAGCGGGGCCCCGCGGGCTCCCACACCAGGCCGGCTCAAGATGAAACGGGGAGGGGGCCTGTGCAGGTCAGAAACGTAGCCGCGGGGCCGATCCTGAAGACCGAAGCCGAAGCCGGATCCGCAGGTCTCCAGGTGCCGACTTCCAGGCAGGCCCTTGCAAACTTTGCTATTAGGAGTCATCTCCTTTGTTCTTACAGGTTTCTGCTTTCTCTCTCTTTTTTAAAAGCTTTATTGTTTATTTTTGGCAGTGCTGGGCTTTCTTGCCAGAGCTTTTCTGTAGTTGTGGTGGAGGCGGGGGACATTTTTGATTTGTGGGGCGCAGTCTTCTCATTGCAGTGGCTTCTCTTGTTGTTGAGCACCGGGCCCTCGGGCATCTGGGCTCGGTACTTGAGGCCTCCCGGGTGCTAGAGCACAGTCTCAATAGTTGTGGTGCTTGGGCTTAGTTGTTGCAACGCACGTGGGATCTTCCCGGATCAGGAATTGAAGGCATGTCTCTAGCATTGGCAAGAGAGCACCAGAGAAGCCCTCTGCTTTCATATTACCCAGTCTCGTGTTAATTGCTTTTCTGATGATTTTTCTGGCAGGCTGTTTTTGCTGTCAGGGATGGCTGCTGTGGGTGGAGGTAATGCCGCAAGTCCAAGAGGGAGCCATCACAGTGACCTCCTGCGTGGCGGGGGTCCCTGCTCCCTGACCCAGGGTAGATTACAGAGTTGGTCATCAACAGTCAGGGATGCAGGCTCAGAGCCTTAAGATCTGACAGGAGCCTGTGGCCAAGCCTTTCCCAGGGTGCCGTTCTCTTGCCGTTTATGGTTTTTGAGGGCCGCTCTTCCAGTGCAGGGACCTCGGGGCGCAGGTGCCCGTGTGCTGGGCTGGATGACCCCTGGGGTCTTTTCTAAGATCCTACAAATGCTGGCAGCAAAGAGATTAGAACTGGGGTGATCAGATCTTCCCAACCAAGAGTCAAAACATCTGGGAATTCAGTAACTTGTCCATCACAAATATTTACTCCTAAACTCCTACTCTGTGCCAGGCATGGTGCTGAGGGCTAGAAATGCAACAGTGAATAAGTGTTCAGTTTGATGGGGGAGACAGACCCGCACACACGGGTAATTACAATGCAGTGAAAGGACCCCATCCTGGGGCTTCCCAGGTGGCTCAATGGTAAAGAGTCTGCTTGCTGATGCAGGAGACGCAGGAGATGCAGGTTTAGCCCCTGGGTCGGGAAGATCCCCTGGAGGAGGAAATGGCATCCCACTCCAGTGTTCTTGCCTGGGAAATCCCATGGACAGAGGAGCCTGGTGGGTTACAGTCCATGGCATTGCAGAGTTGGACACCACTTAGTGGCTGAGCACGCACACGCACATGGTCAGGACCAGGATCCAGTCATATGTGGCTTGTTTTTGGGCACAGAGGCGAGCTACCTGGTCTAGTGGGGGCTTGAGAAGGCTCCTGGAGGAGGGACCAAGGGGACTGAGCCTGAAAAAGGAAGCAGGAGCTGGCCAGGCCAAGGGGAGTGTAAAGGAGAGGAGAGGAAAGGTGAATTGTGCTGCGTGAACCAAGCTGTCTAATAGGAACATGTTGACATCGAGGCATGTGAGGAGGAGAGAAAGACAAAGCCCAGGTCTCCTGCTTTTACAGACCAGATTTTAATCTCCTTTGTGCAAGGGTCTCAAACTCAGTGTCCAGCCACCCAGCGTCTGCCCTGTGAGTGCCCTCACAGTTCCTTGGCGGGGGTGAGGGGAGGAACACAGCCTGAAACGCCCTGCAGGGAGTGCAGATGAGTGTGTCCGGACAGACCTTGCTTCACTCAGGGACTGTCTGAAAGGCGGGCTCCCAGGGCGCCCAGTGCGGTGCAGAGGGCGCAGCTGGTGCCCATCAAAGCCTTGTTCTGGGTTCTGGGAAAACAGTAATGAACAAAACCCTCACAAAGCTCGTATTCTGATGGGGAAGCTAGAAAATAAGTAAGGAAACCATTAAATAAATAAACAGGATACATTCAGATTGTGATAAGAGCCACAAAGACAAGGAAAGAGACTCACATAAGTAGCAGAGAGTGATTTAATAGGAGGCCCGAGGAGTCTTTGGGTTGTCCAGTGATATTTGAACTGATACCTGAAGGCTGAGAGGGCATCTGCCTTGCCAGGACCTGTGAGAGATGCTGATGAGCAGGAGCAGAGTCCAGACCTGCTCGCACATGCTGCGCCAGGGTGTCTGGAGGCCCGCAGGGATCTCACAGGGCTCTGTGGGAAGTTCGGTGTTTAAGAGAACCCTCAGCATCTGTTGGACTCCATGCAGACTACTAACTGGCCCAGGATAGTTTGCAGTTTCATCACGAGACTTCCCTCCGTGCTTTTTGATGGCGTCGTTTTGTGAAGCTGGCTTTTCACTGGTTGCTGTGATAAAAAGCAAGCGCCGTGGGAAAACTGATGGAGAACAGGAAATGAGGGTGGCAGTGATTCATCAGATTCTAGGTTTTGAGAGGCTGTGCCCTGCCCCACCGGGACATAACACACGTGCCGCTAGTAAGCGGTTGTGGTTATTTAGGGATGAGACAAAAAAATATCATTCTTTCCCAATTTGCATGCATTCTTTTCTCTTTTAATATGTATTTGTTTGACTGCCCTGGTCTTAGTTGTGGCATGCAGGATCTTCTCTCTTTCTTGCTTCAGTCTTCCTTGTGGCACGTGGGATCTAGTTCCCTGACCAGGGATGGAACACAGGCCCCCTGCATTGTGGGGTGGGGGGCAGAGTCCTAGCCACTGGACCACCAGGAAAGTCCCTGTATTATTTTTTTGAACAGCTACTCAGTTATTAGGACATAAAAACTTATTACACTCTTTGGGCCTGCCTACCTTATTTATTTATTTTGTCTGGGCTTGTAGGATCTCAGTTCATCCACCAGAGATTGAACCAGGTCCCAGCAGTGAGAGTGCTGAGTCCTAGCCACTGGACTGCCAGGGAATTCCTGATCCTAAATGTTAGGTTGGTGAAAAAGTAATTGTGATTTTGGACTGTGAGTTTTAAATCATTATAACTAGGCTCAAACACATCTTTGTCAATCAAAATAAGAACCATTATAATCAACACATTTTTCCCAAAGACAAATAAGTTTGTTTATTCTTGTAGCATAAAAATCCATGCTTTGGGATTCCACGAACTCTTAGAAAGCATTTGCTACGTCCTGCTGGTTGTGGAAGCATTTTCACCACAAAAAGTTGTTGAGATGCCTGAAGACATGATAGTCAGTTGGCGAGAGGTCAGGTAAATATGGCAAATGAGGCAAAACTTTATAGTTCAATTCATTCAACTTTTGAAGCACTGGTTGTGTGATGTGCATTGGGTATTGTCATGGAGAAGAATTGGGCCCTTTCTGTTGACCAATGCTGGCTGTAGTTGTTAAGAGGTTTTGGTGCATATCATCGATTTGCTGAGCATACTTTTCAGATGTAATGATTTTGCTAGGATTCAGAAAGCTGTAATGGATCAGACAGGCAGCAGACTGCCAAAGAGTAACCCTGACCTTTTTTTGGTGCAAGTTGGCTTCAGGAAAGTGCTTTGGAGCTGCTTCTCCATCCAATCACTGAGCTAGTCGTCACTGGTTACCTTATAAAATCCACTTTTCATTGCTTGTCACAATTGGATTGAGAAGTGGTTCATTATTGTTGCATAGAATAAAAGAAGAGGACATTTCAGAATGATGATTTTTAAAATTTTTGGTCAGCTTTTTCACCTTTCCGATTTGTTTCAAATGCTGAATGACTATAGAACAGTTGACACAGTTTTTTGGCAACTTCTCGTGTTAAGTTGTAAGAAGATCAGCTTCAGTAATGGCTCTCAATTATCGTTGTCAACTTCTGATGGCTAGCCACTCTGCTCCTCATCTTCAACGCTCTTGTCTCCTTGGCAAAACTTCTTGAAACACCACTGCACTGTATGTTTGTTAGCAGTTCCTGGGCCAACTGCATTGTTGATATTTTGAGTTGTCTCTGTTGCTTTATGACCCATTTTGAATTCAAATAAGAAAATTGCTTGAATTTGCTTTTTGTCTAACATCATTTCCCTAGTCTAAAATAAATATAAAATAAGCAGCAAGTAATATCATTAGCAAAAAAAAAAAATAGATCAAGCAATATGCATTAAAATGATGTATAATGCAACCAAATTTATTTAAGAATGTATTCCAATACCAAACAGCAAATTTCAACAATGCAAGACCACAATTATTTTTGTACCAACCCAAATACTTCCTGAAAAGAATCCTTAGGTATTTGTTTTGGCCTCAGAGGGCTGTGAAAAAAATTACCGAGCCTCTGTGAGCACTATCAACAGAGAAGGTTGGAACCCCACTCCTGGGCTAGATGAGGCTGTTGTTCAGTCACTCAGTTGTATCTGACTCTTTGTGACCCCATGGACTGCAGAACACCAGATTTCCCTGTCCTCCACTATCTCCCAGAGTTTGCTCAAACTCATGTCCATTGAGTCGGTGGTGCCATCCAGCCATCTCACTCTCTGTCATCCCCTTCTCCTCCTGCCTTCAATCTTTCCCAGCATCAGGGTCTTTTCCAATGGGTCAGCTCTTCGCATCAGGTGGCCAAAGTATTGGAGCTTCAGCTTCAACATCAGCCCTTCCAGTGAACACCCAGGACTGATCTCCTTTAGGATCGACTAGTTGGATCTCCTTGCTGTCCAAGGGACTCTCAAGAGTCTTCTCCAAAACCACAGTTCAAAAGCATCAGTTCTTCAGTGCTCAGCCTTTTTTATTGTCCACCTCTCACATCCACATATGACTACTGGAAAAATCATAGCTTTGACTGTTTGCACCTTTGTAGGCAAAGTAATGTCTCTGCTCTTGAATATGCTGTCTTGGTTGGTCATAACTTTTCTTCCAAGGAGCAAGTGTCTTAATTTCATGGCTGTAGTCATCATCCACAGTGACTTTGGAGCCCAAGAAAATAAAGTCTGTCACTGTTTCTCCATTGTTTCCCCATCTATCTGCCATGAAGTGATGGGACTGGATGCCATGATCTTCGTTTTTTCAATGTTGAGTTTTAAGCCATCTTTTTCACTCTCTTCTTATACCTTCATCAAGAGGCTCTTTAGTTCTTCATTGCTTTCTGCCATAAGGGTGGTGTCATCTGTGTATCTGAGGTTATTGATATTTCTCCCAGCAATCTTGATTCCAGCTTGTGCTTCATCCAGCCTGACATTTCACATGATGTACTCTGCATATAAGTTAAATTGGCAGGGTGACAATATTTAGCTTTGGTGTATTCCTTTCCGAATTTGGAACCAGTCCATTGTTCCATGTCTGGGTCTAACTGTTGCTTCTTGACCTACATATAGGTTTCTCAGGAGGCAGGTAAAGTGGTCTGGTATTCCCATCTCTTTAAGAATTTTCCACAGTTTGTTGCGATCTACACTGTCAAAGGCTTTATTGTAGTCAATGAAGCAGAAGTAGACATTTTTATGGACTTCTCTAGCTTTTTTGATGATCCAGTGGATGTTGGCAATTTGATCTCTGGTTCCTCTACCTTTTCTAAATCCAGCTTGTACATTTGGAAGTTCTTGGTTCACATACTATTGAAGCTTATCTTGGGGAATTTTGAGCATTACTTTGCTAGCATATGAAGTGAGTGCAATTGTGTGATAGTTTGAACATTCTTTGGCATTGCCTTTCTTTGGGATTGGAATGAAAACTGACCTTTCCATTCCTGTGGCCACTGATGAGTTTTTCAAATTTGCTGGCATATTGAGTGCAGCTGTATAATCATAAGGGATTTGATTTAGGTCATACCTGAATGGTCTAGTGGTTTTCCCTACTTTCTTCAATTTAAGTCCGAATTTGGCAATAAGGAGTTCATGATCTGAGGCACAGTCAGTTCCCGGTCTAGTTTTTGCTGACTGTATAGAGCTTCTCCATCTTTGGCCGCAAAGAATATAATCCATCTGATTTCGTATTGATCATCTGGTGGTGTCGATGTGTAGAGTCTTCTCTTGTGTTGTTGGAAGAGGGTGTTTGCTATGACCAGTGCTTGGTAAAACTCTATTAGCCTTTGCTCTGCCTCATTCTGTACTCCAAGGCCAAATTTGCCTGTTACTCCAGGTGTTTCTTGACTTCCTACTTTTGCATTCCAGTCACCTATAATGAAAAAGACATCTTTTTTGGGTGTTAGTTCTAGAAGGTCTTGTAGGTCTTCATAGAACCATTCAACTTCAGCTTCTTCAGCATTACTGGTCAGGGCATAGACTTGGATTACTGTGATATTGAACGGTTTGCCTTGAAAACAAACAGAGATCATTCTGTCATTTTTGAGACTGCATCCAAGTACTGCATATCAGACTCTCTTGTTGTCTATGATGGCTACTCCATTTCTTCTAAGGGATTCTTACCTACAGTAGTAGATATAATGGTCATCTGAGTGAAATTCACCCATTCCAGTCCATTTGAGAAATCTATATCCAGGTCAGGAAGCAACAGTTAGAACTGGACATGGAACAACAGACTGGTTCGAAATTGGGAAAGGAGTATGTCAAGGCTATATACTGTCACCCTGCTTATTTAGCTTATATGCAGATTACATCATGCAAAATGTCAGGTTGGAAGAAGCACAAGCTGGAATCACAATTGCCAGGAGAAATATCAATAACCTCAGATACACAGATGACACCACCCTTATGGCAGAAAGCAAAGAAGAACTAAAGAGCCTCTTGATGAAACTGAAAGAGGAGAGTGAAAAAGTTGGCTTAAAACTCAACATTCAGAAAACGAAGATCATGGCATCTGGTCCCATCACTTCATTGCAAATAGATGGGGAAACAGTGGAAACAGTGACAGACTTTATTTTTTTGGACTCCAAAATTACTGCAGATGGTGACTGCAGCCATGAAATTAAATAGCTCAGTTGGTAAATCATCTGCCTGTAATGCAGGAGACCCGGGTTTGATTCCTGGCTTGGGAAGATCCCCTGGAGAAAGAAATGACAGCACACTCCAATATTCTTGCCTGGAGAATTCCATGGACAGAGGAGCCTGACAGGCTATAGCCCACGGGATCACAAGAGTTGGACAGGACTTAGCAACTAAACCACCATCTGGGAAGAAAAGTTATGACCAACCTAAGCATATTAAAAAGCAGAGATATTACTTTGCCAACAAAGATCTGTCTAGTGAAAGCTATGGTTTTTTCCAGTAGTCATGTATGGATGTGAGAGTTTGACTGTAAACAAAGCCGAGCACCAAAGAATTGAGGCTTTTGAACTATGGTGTTGGAGAAGACTCTTTAGAGTCCCTTGAACTGCAAGGAGATCCAACCAGTCAATCCGAAAGGAGATCAGTCTTGAATATTTATTATTGGAAGGACTGATGGTAAAGCTGAAGCTCCAATACTTTGGCTACCTGATGCAAAGAACTGACTCATTGGAAAAGACCCTGATCCTGGGAGGGATTGGGGGCAGGAGGAGAAGGGGATGACAGAGGATGAGCCAGTTGGATGGCATCACCAACTCAATGGACATGAGTTTGAGTAAACTCCGGCAGTTGGTGATGGACAGGGAGGCCTGGTGTGCTGCAGTCCACAGAGTCACAAAGAGTTGGACATGATTGAGTGACTGAACTGAATGCAACACTTTCACAGCATCTTTTAGGATTTGAAATAGATCAGCTGGAATTCCATCAACTCCACTAGCTTTGTTCGTAGTAATAATTTCCTTGATTTCACACCCCAGGATGTCTGGCTCTAGGTGAGTGATCTCACCACCGTGTTATCTGGGTCATTAAGACCTTTTTTGTATAGTTCTTCTGTGTAGTCTTGCCACCTCTTAATATCTTTTGCTTCTGTTAGGTCCATACTATTTCTGTCCCTTATTGTGCCTATCTTTGCATGAAATGTTCCCTTGGTATCTCTAATTTCTTGAAGAGATCACTAGTCTTTTCCATTTTATTGTTTTCCTCTATTTCTTTACATTGTTCACTTAAAAAGACTTTGTCTCTCTTTGCTATTTTTTGGAACTCTGCATTCAGATGGTTATATCTTTCCTTTTCTCTTTTGCCTTTCTCTTTCTTCTTTTCTCAGCTTTTCTTCTTGTCTCCTCATTTTGCCTTTTGCATTTGATGTGAGGATGCCCTCAATCAAACCCTTTTCTTTTCAAGCCCTGCGCTGATACTGGGTGGCTTGTCTCTTGACAGCTTGTGAGTGAGTGAGTATGCATACTAGCAGGTACTGGGGAAAGGTCAGGTAGATTTTCTAACAGGGTGGGTCCCCAGCCTGCCTCACCATTTGGATCACTGGAGAACTTTGCAAAAATAGTTTCCTGTTCTCCTTCCTGGAGATTCGAATTCAGTGGGTCTGAATAGGGAATCTAAGTTTAAAAACCTGTGCTCCCACCTGCTTTCTTTTAGACAGCCAGGAGGGCCCATGTTTGTGGGGGTGAATGTGGTTGTTTTCCGGCCAAACTGTGGCCCAGGGGAACGAGGCGGCGTTTCTGATCTCCAGGCAGGGAAGGGGCGTGGGCACCAGCCCCAGAACCGTGGGGCAGGTGGTTGCTGGCCGCGCTCATTCGAACACCCGGTCCTGGTGCGCCGCTGGGGTGGTTTGAAAGGAAGCCGCCCCTGCGGGGAAGGTCATCCCCCTCCTAGGCCCAGTGATCACGGCCTTCCCCGGCCCAGACGCCTGGGGAGGGTTTTGGGGCGGGTTGCCAGGTGGGAGAGGGAGAGGGCTGAGCGCAGCTGCGAGAGAAGGTGGCCGAGAGGTGGCAGCATCAGCCCGCCCGCCGTCTCCAAACCTCCGGACCGGGCGGGGGTCGCGGAGACCCAGGCGGCTCGGAGACGCTCGAGTGGCTGGGGACGGGGGCGCCAAGGCTGGCCGGGCTGACCCCGGGGCTGGCGGGGAAGGAACCACGGAAGCAGCCGCGAGGTGCCCCCAGCGGCGGCTCGATGTCTCCCGGAGTCTGGGAGCTGGGGTTCGACCAGTCTGGTTACACCCTCGTTGAGTCTCTCTTCGCAGGATTTGCAGGAGTGCAAGACATTGAGTTCAAGGTACACGGAAATGAGCCAAGGGCCCTGGGTGTACAGTTGAGGAACCGCTGTCTCAATATACTGTGATGTGAAGAATTTTTTTTAAGGGGTGGCTGGCAGTAAATCCCTCGTTGGTGTCTAAAATTCCACCATCAGAGATGCATTAAGTATTGTTCCCTCCTCAAGGCTCTGGGAAGCAGCAATGCATTGGAATTTAAACTCTTTTGAGTAAATCAATGACTCCATCTAAACTTAATTCCTGGCAAGAGAAAGGTTAGCCCAGAATACTGAAGAAACAAAGAAGCCTGAAGGCTTATTAATTGGTTCTGGCTAATCAGGCCCCAGGGACCAGGGCACTTCCTGGGAAGGTCTCAGAACCAGTTATGTGGGTGAAAAAGGAGCTGTATACCCACTCCCTGAATGTTTGAGAGAGGAATAATGAGGTGCCAGCCCAGGGGGATTAGGTCAGTGCTTTGCCTTATTATTACTGTTTTTGTAAAAGAGGAAGCACCTGTACCAAGACTTTCATAAATTATAAAATGAATCTCTTCCTCTCTTTCCTTCTATCGTCTCTGCTTGTATTAGGGAAATGGTGTGGTGTGGTATGATGAAACTTTTACACCAGAAGTTCCTGGCTTGCAGATCTGCCTCTGCCCGTTCAGCTGGAAAACATCTTGTGAATGTATGTACTGCTTCAGGCCTGAGTGAGGTGTGTGTCACGACAGTCACTGTGAGGAGCTTCCTTGTGGTCTGAGTTTTCTATCTTGTTCTGTGACAACAGCGATGCTGTTGAACAAGGCTGTCCAGCTTAAGGGCTGTCACAACTTACACTGACATGGGCGGTGGTGTGTGAGTGACCACTGTGAAGAACTGTGAAGAACTCTACACCCTTATGTACTGGATTTTAGGAATCTTTTACTAGAAGGAATAGAAAATATTGGTATGCAGTGAAGTCTAATCATCGTTTGAAGACTGGCTCTCCATAGATTTCTTCCAGGAATTTCACATGTGTTTATTCTTGTGACAAACTAAAATATATCCTCTATATTGACTAGAGGTCTTTGGACTAAAGATCTTGAGGCAGAGGTTGAAGTTTTATCTATCTTTGCAAGGACAGCCTCCCTACTCTCCTATGCACTATGTTCTAAATATGTGTGTGAACACCAGTCGGTATTTCTCCCAGTGATAAAGTTAAGGGTAAAATGGTATTTTTAGGTTCACAACTGTGGAGGCTAATGACTTTTGTATCTTTTTCTTTCCCTCTGTTCTTCCTTCTTATCTGAAAGTTCATTAAATATGGGTTTGTAATTTGGGTTGTTATTAAATTACTTTTGATGTTGTGTGTATCCTGGATTTAGATTTTTGAAACATATTTCTGACACATATTCTGTCTTGTAACTGTATTTAAACAATTATCTTAGACTTGTCTTTTTGTGTGGTTGGCTTCAGTGCTCACTGCTAGTCCTTTTATGTTTTGATTTTCCCATTCTTGAGGTCCTAATTTTAAGTTGTCACTTGAGCAGTTGGAATATATTTCAAAGTGATTTAAACAGTATATGAATGGCAGACACTTTGAGCTCTTATGAATGTCTCTTTTGTTTTCTCATCTCAAAATTAAAACTTATCTGTGAGTAGAACACCTGAGTCTAAATTTTTTACCATGTCAAAACTTTGTCAGTATCTATCATTGCAGAAGAGAAGGACAAGGTCAGCATGATTTTTATTCCTTTATAGATATTTTTATGTTCATTTTTGGGTCTGGATATGTAGATAGACAAAAAACATGTTTTATATTTTAATTTAAAAAACTGTCAGGATATTTTTGGACATGAGTCTGTGTCAGTTACTTTTCCCTGGAACCTGGTGAGTGTTTCATTCTCCTGCACTCCTCTTTTGGAAAGTTTTCTTTCGCTATATCTTCAGTGATTGCTTCTTCTTTGACTGTTATAGAGCCTTCCTCAGAAACGTTAAGTCTTGGGCTGAATCTTTATTCCTGGTCTTCAATAGCTATCATCTTCTTCTTTAATTACTGTATCAATATTTTATCAGTTGTAAGCAGTACTTGTATTTTATGTACTATTAAGGAAGAAAAGATGCTGCCAGTTAAACTATGACATAATGCCATAATTACAGTCCTGTGAAACTGGTAAGTTGATCATACCAGCTTCTTTCTTGTGAAGTACTTCATCTATCTTGAGATATTTGACAGTTTCTCCTGCCTTTAATTGCGTTGTTTGGCATGTGACAGGCAATCTCTTTTGCGTGTATCTTAGTTACAAAACATAACAGTTTCTAAGCTTCTACTTAAGGATAACTTCTTTTCCCTTTCTTGGATCCTGTAAAGAACTTGGCTTTTTTAAAACAGGAATTTCAGTCATTGCTCCTAAAACAGATATTTGCTTCAGTAATATCAAATTACACCCTGCTGCTCTAATTCCATGCCTTTCTGCATACACAATAACTTCTTGTTTTAGTGCCAAATCATAGTGTAATCTTTTAAAAGACATTTTAAGTGGCAATTAAGCTCACATGTGATTGCAACAATGTGCATAACTCAGTTAAGGTGCTTAGAACATGAACAGCTGAGACCACAGTTAGGCCATGCCCAGGACCTGACAACAGTCTCACTGGGACAGCTCCCAGGTCCACAGTGATTGTACGATGCCGCTGATTGTAAGACTTAACTGATTTCTGAATTGTTGTGAAAAGATGGACATCTTAGAATCAGTGAAATATGATAATATCAATTTTTTGTTCTCTTTCTCTGCAATTTGGAAGTGTTTCTCAAGTTTGTCATCCATAATACTTGATTTTCTGCCGTGTCAATTGCACTCATTTACTGCTTCCTATGTTGTTCAGTCTGTGACCCCATGAACTGTAGCACTCCAGGCTTCCTTGTCCACTGCTTCCTATATGTGGCTTTTAACTATTGTTTAACAATCTCATTTTCTTGGAGATAGAGCTCTTATCAGAACTAGCTTCCCTTCTATCTGTTCTTGGATACCATTGGTCAGATTCTCATTTCTAGGTTTGAAGCCCCTGGATATTTACCATACAATTGAGCTCTATGGAATTCAAATGATGTGTGTGACTTATAGAACTTCCCCATAAGAGCATTCGTTAAGCTCTTCTCCATGCTCATTTTCCCTCATTCCAGCCGAGTGCCAGAAGATGACAGTGACAACCCAGGAGGCCATATGATGAAAATGGTGGCATTTTTGTTATCCTGGGTGCCCAAGGATGGAGGTCTTGCTGACTTGAAACATTTGCCTTAGACTGTTTTCTAAGTGGCAAGTCAACTTTTATTTTATTTCATCCAATATACAAATATTGGGTGTATTTGTACAGCAGCTGAATTTACTCTAATACATATTCTGAAATCACCATGTACCTTTTCTAAAAGATTTTCATAAAATTCTTACAAAGTTTCAGTGAGAATTGCCTTGAATTTGGCTTTCTTAATTACTGTTGCTGCTAAGAAAAGAGAGTAACTTGGACAGTGAAACTATAGCAAATGAGGTAATGAAGTAATTACTAGATTTTAACATTCCCATCATTTATGCCAAAATAAAAAAAGGTCTCAGAATACCATCTTTCCCCAGTGAGTACATGGAGTTCTGAATTGCTCAGACATTTGATAAAAGAAGAAAAGAAGAACTCTTGCAAGCAAGTGACTGAAACCTAGATGGGTAATAACTGGACTATGTCTAATGCTATTTTGGATGAAATATTTTTTTAGAAAACTCTGCTCTTTTAGCTGTTGTCTCTCTTATTATAAAAGTTCTGTTATTGTTTATTTTAAAAGATTCACAATTACCCTTTGCATAAACAAAGAAGCTTACCCCCATCACATTTTTGTAAGACCTATAATGTCATTTCAGGTGGCAGTCTTTGAGCCTTATCCTGAGTTCAGTTCAGTTCAGTTGCTCAGTTGTGTCTGACTCTTTGCGACCCCATGGACTGCAGCATATCAGGCTTCCCTGTCCATCACCAACTCCCAGAGTTTGCTCAAACTCATATCCATCGAGTCGGTGGTGCCATCCAGCCACCTCACTCTCTGTCATTCTCTTCTCCTGCCTTCATTCTTTCCCAGCAACAGGGTCTTACCCAATGAGTCAGTTCTTCACATCAGGTGGCCAAAGTATTGGAGTTTCAGTTTCAGCATCAGTCCTTCCAATGAATATTCAGGACTGATTTCCTTTAGGATGGACTGGTTGGATCTCCCTGCAGTACAAGGGACTCTCAAGAGCCTTCTCCAACATCACAGTTCCAAAGCATCAATTCTTTGGTGCTCAGCTTTCTTTATAGTCCAACTCTCACATCCATACAAGACTACTGGAAAAACTGTAGCTTTGACTGGATGGACCTTTGTTGGCAAAGTAATGTCTCTGCTTTTTAATATGCTGTCTAGGTTGGTCATAGCTTTTCTTCCAAGGAGCAAATGTCTTTTAATTTCATGGCTACAGTCACCATCTGCAGTGATTTCTGAGCCCAAGAAAATAAAGTCTGTCACTGTGTCCAGGTTTATCCTGGTATCAATTTTATCTCAGCTTGCTTTCCATATGGTTTTCAGTTTCATCCTCAAAGGGCCATGTTATATTTTTCATATTATAGATGACAGTTTCCTAAAATTTTCTTCTGGTTTCTATAGTAAATCATCTTCAGAAGTATGCTCTTTTTCTTAGTCTTCTGGGTGATTCTCTTTTTTTCTCATATGTGGCATTGTTTTCCAGTAGGTCCAATTCTCCTCCCCCAACCCCTGACCCCTCTTCATTTTACAATAAGGCAATAGAACTCTATGGAGATTTGGAGATGGCTAACAGAGGAAGTGTGGCTTGTCCTTGGCTTTGCTCACTGGGCTGTTCTTCAGATGTGTAGCTGGAGGGCCAGTTGAGGTGCATAGCTCCTCAGCAATTTCCAGATTCATCTTAATGGGATTCACCTGTTCAGCCCTGCTGAACTGCTGTGAGATCTCCTCCTCCTTCTCTAAGTTCTCTAACATTCAGAACAACAGAACTTCTCTAAGTTCGCTAACATTCAGTTCTCTAACATTCAGAACTGATGAGTATGTCAGAGTCTTA